GAGATGTAAGAGCGTAGTTGCAGGTAGGCATGCTAGGGAAGTGGAAGGCCTGGAAGACCATATCTAAATAGGAATATATTTATTTTGTTGGCTTATTAATGAATTGGTGTAGTGTGTTATATCCACTCCCCCTGCCTCCCAAAAAACATATTGGGTTGTTAAAGGCACTATAGTGTCAGGAATACAAACCTTGGAGTATGTGGGAAGGTATTGAATGGTGAAGGCAGTGTAGTAAAGACGATAGTGATATAGACCATCAAGTGTTGCCTCGGGGTCAGTTGTGGTGAAGTGTGTGTGGTTTCGCAGCCAGTCTAGGCCGTTATCTCTAGGCCTGGCTAGTAGCACATTTTAAGCCCTTCTAAAACAAACATGTATAAAATTAAAAGATTGATTAATTAGATATTGATTGACTGTTACTGTATTTTTTCTCTTCCTGTGGTTAATACAATAAACCATGTTTGTTTCAAATTCAGGTTATTCACTAAATTGAGAACTGCTGGAAAATCAAAGTGAATTTAAAAAAATAAAATCTAGTTTGGCTATTTTGGGCTTCAGTCTCAAATTCACTTTGAATTCCCAACAAATCCTATTTTAGCGAATAACCCTAATCGTGTCCATTTAGGCTTGAGTACTTTGAATATCTCCTAGTAGTTCCAATATTATGTTGCTGAACATTTTACTAAACTAAATATATTCATATTAATTCAAGGTAGATTGATAAAAATGATGTTTGATTACAAACAGAACAATTCTGGGGTCAAATGTGAAACAAGCAAAGAAACATTTGGATGCTTTCCACGGTGATAGACCTGCTTATTTTTCTGTTTAATCACAATTCAGAAGACTGTTTAGAACTAATCTATATCCCAATGTATTTCACATATGCAGCCGCTTCTTATATTAAAAATATTAAACTACAGTCTCACTCTACAAATCGCTGATGCGTATAACAGGGAGAAATAATGCCATCTCTGGATTCTGGACCACAATAGCTTTTGTTTATTATTTTCGGTCTAAAGCCTACAGATGGCATTATTTCTATATAGCACACGTTTTCTCCCTCCCACACCTCTCTCCCCGTACATTTTTCTACTTGCAATCTGTATTCTTTGTGCCTAGGAGCTGGGGCCAAGGTAAAATATACAACAATGAAGTTGCTTCTTGCAAAGACATTAACAACAACAACAAACAACATATGATTTGATTATCTTAGTGTGAATAAAAAGCTGCTTTTGTGTAATCATGAATTTATACCCAAACCTATCTTTACGGAATATTAGATATTTACTACAGGAAATTATCCCCTAAACAAGGTTTATTTGGACATTCGTGTCACCAGAACAACTACAGCTTATTGTATTTGTTCTGGTAAGTATAGTCAATTCTTGCAGGCATTTTACAGTAAATACTGTCTTTTCAGAGAAAAGGCATTGTTTACATTGCAGTCTAGGGACACCTCCAGTGGCCACTCCTCAGATGGCTACTAGAGGTGCTTCCTGAGGCAGTGCTGCAGAGTGTGACTGACATTCAGTGTCTCCACCTTCTGCATGGAGACACAGACGTTTCCTCATAGAGATGCCTGGATTCTATGCATCTCTATAAGAAGAGGCTGATTGGCCAGGGTGGAGTTTGGCACCACCCCGCCCTCCGGCCCGCCACCATGGCTGAGATCATCAGAATTGACAATCTCAGCCAATCCAGTGTTTTCCTATGGGGAAACTTTGTGATTGGCTGAGATCATAATTTCTGATGATGTCAGCCAAGGAGGCAGAACAGAGGCAGAGCCAGCACCAGCAGATTGAAATAAAGGTAATATTTTAAATATTTAGGGGGAATGGGGGGCTACATAGTGTTTTAACACTATAGGGTCAGGAATACATGTTTGATTGTTTGTTTGTTTATTTAAATCAATGGGCCTATTCCATAGGCATGGTCCTGGGGCTGCAGCTGTGTGATGCACACTGTAAATCATAGGATGCAATGAGTAATGCAATGAGTAATGCACACTGCATAGCATAGAATTCCTAACTCACAACAGCTTCAGCCTGCAGACTGTACTCTAGGAAAGCCACCTTCCTGCTACCAAAATGTAGGACACTGGAGGATGGCTATAAAAGTGTAAATTGTGACCAGCATGTTTTGTTTCTCAGTATGTGTGTCAGAGTGGATGTCTATATGTGTATCTGTATGTCTGTCAGTGTGTGTGTGTCTGTTTGTATGTGTAGCTGTGTGTGTATGTCAGTGTGTGTCGGTTAATGTGTGTGTGTGTCTGTATGTTGTCAGTATACGTATCTATGTGTCAGTGTATCTGTATGTATGTCAGTGTGTACCTGTGTGTGCATCTATGTATATGCATGTTGTCATATATAGTTACATAGTTACATAGCTGAAAAGAGACTTGCGTCCATCAAGTTCAGCCTTCTTCACAAATGTTGTTGCTGTTGATCCAAAAGAAGGCAAAAAACACAGTCTGAAGTGCTTCCAATTTTGCCACAAACTAGGAAAACATTTCTTCTTGACCCTAAAATAGCAGTCAGACGTCTCCTTGGATCAAGCAGCTATTACCCCACTAATTAGAAATGATATCCCTGTATGTTATGTTTTTGTAAGTATTTATCCAATTTCAGTTTAAACATTTGTATGGACTCTGACAAAACCACCTCTTCAGGCAGAGAATTCCATATCCTTATTGTTCTTACTGTAAAAAAACCTTTTCTTTGCCTTAGATGAAATCAGTATGTGTATCTGTTTGTCTAGCCATCTGTATGGTGTCAGTGTGTGTATCTGTGTGTCTATATGAGTCAGTGTATCTGTATGTCTGCATTTGTGTGTGTGTATTTGTACCTCGAATCCTAAATTTAGCACCTCGCAAAACCTAAACAACCCCTTTCTTTAATCCCAAATTTAAGGACTCAGGGGGCACCTTGCAATTCTTTGCCTACAGGCACCTAACATGAAAATCTTGCCCAGGGCGTTTAATATACAATATGTCTCAAACACTTGCCATGAGGCGACAGATTGTTATTAGGACTAATGAGGACTATATTAGAAATGTTAAAAATTGTCCACCCGTCAGTTCAGTGGATCCCCACTGGCTGGAAGGGGCACATCATTTTCACCAGCTGCCAGGTAACTGCTCACAATAAAACTTTTACCATAATAGCACAGCGTTCACCAGTGCAACAGAGACCCTTCTGAGACTGGAAAACATCTAGTAAAGGATTTGTCGGAATTTAATTTAATGTACAATGCACAGCCGTTGCAGAAGGGGTCACTGATTTAAATTTCCATTTGAGGAACGATTCACCAAGCTACTGCCACATGCACAGTTTGGTTCCTTGCCCAGAAACGTTGAGTACCACTGCTTTAAAGATTAGTGTCATCAGTACTGTTTACTCTCGATTTCATTTCTCCATTAATGATTGCAAATCCATCTGTAATTAAAAAAAAAAACAACTAAATTGTCGTTAGAACCCTGAAACCACAATCACTTTCCTACAAAGGAGACAAACGTCTTTCCAATGTCTATCTGCAGCCTCCGCAGGGGATAAACATTCAGCTGAATTATGAAGCATTAATGAAATCTCTTAAAATCGAATTGCATCGCACTGGGATTAGTTGAACGTTAAGTAAAGAGGTGATTCACAGAGTGGCAGGATTCCTAGATATTAAAACCATGAACTGACTGTACAAATGTAATACTGGATTAACCTACATTCTTGGAATTTGGATACATTATAACCCCCACAGCAAAGAGAGGTACAAAATGAAATAACGTGTGCCATATGCCATACATATATAAACATAGCTTTCAGCTAGATTCTTATAGAATATTGAAATCCCATGCAAACAGGCATTTGATGGTTTCTCGGAAAAACATAGCACCTGCTGTGAGCTCTGTTATTCCACACGTGTTGTAGGACTTGCTTCCAAATGCTTTAATTTTTTGGCCTCTCTTAACATAAATGTGTTAAATGCTCTATGTGTCCTCCTCTGATATTTTAAGTATAAAGGAGAGGACGCAAATAGTTTTTTATCTTATTATGCGTAAGGGCAAGCAGAAGATGACTATACAGAGCCTTATGGTGGCTTCGTGATTTTTTTTTGTAATTTCCAAGTGTGCGAATCTGCTTGAAATCAGGCTTGGCTATCTTTGGTGCCATGGCAACACCATGCATGTGGAATGAGGCAGAGAATGGAGTCAACATTTTCTGAAGACCCTCAGCAGAGGCTGACCAGTGCCGGGATGTGGAGACACAGTATGGAGTTTGCCTGCTGGTAGGTGGCCGGGTGGCAGCTGTATCTGTATGACAACATTTCAGATTATGCTGACTGTAGGATGAACAAACACACAAACGCAATACTATTAGAATGTAATGTTTATTAAAAGAACAAGCTTCTACCATATTACTATAATGTAATGTAATAGGTATGGCAGTTAACAAACAGATCACAACAAATTATAAACAGGAGGCTATTGCAATAAGTGCCAAACCTGTCCTGTTTGAAGAATCTGAGAGCAGAGGAAGGTTAGGTGCAGAGCTAAACAGCACTGGTGAAAGGTTTAACCCCTAAAGGTAAGCCGGCGCCAGGGACCTTCTGGCACCATAACAATTTAATTCCGGTGAAGCTGTTATGATGTCCGGAGTTCTCCTTTAAGATTGCAGATTAGCTTGGGGGTAGCTAGTGTTTTTATAATAATCATCTCACAAATGTTTAGCTCTCATTTGTTAAAAATACATCTCCACTCAAAGTATAATTTAATGTCACCAACAAAACAATTCCAATCAAAGTCTGCTGGATCTCCCTCTTCACCATACAAGACGTTGTTCCACAAGACCACCAGGGAAACTAGCGCCCCCCCTCCCTGGCCGCAGGTAAGAGGCAGGAAGCGGGGAATAAACCTTAAATATAAATGTAAAAATAAATAGCTCACACCCCCAGCCCCTATCTAACCCCATAAACTAATGCACACACATTATGCATTCACCACACCAGGACTGGACAGGAAAAAATTTCAACCCGGCATTTTTTAATCACAGCGGCCCACTGTGAAGGGGGAGGGGCCGGAGAGGGTGTATTTTGTCATCACCAATGACAAGCATGCACTCTCAAAGAGTGTTGGTTCAATGCTCTTCCAGGGTAGACCATGCGCAGAGCTCTGCTGAAGAGCTCTAGCATGAGGAAAAAGCCCTGTATTTGATCTGCGCAGCACAAGCAAATTTAATCACATGCTTGCATTGTGTTTGCTTTTACCTTGTCTCTGGTGTCTTCATAAGTGGAATACCAGGAGACAAAAGGGCCAGGAAAGCGTATTGTGCATGTGTTTGGAGTCAGCTTGTGGGATTGCGTGTGTGTACAGTGAGCGGATTGTGGTGTGGTTCTGTATGTTTGAGGGGTGCAGTATGTGAATATGTTTGGAGGGATTTTGTGTATGTGTGGGGGAGGCAGATGCATGCATATATATTGTATGTGTATTTTTATTTATTTATTTTTTAATTAAAAAAGTGGTGTATCCCCCCTCCCTTCTTACCCTTTGCCTGGGTGGGTAAATCTTGCTGCAATCCCTGTTGGTCCTAGCGGTGAGTAAACTCTAGCCTGGGGAGCAGTTGCGTACACATGACCCATGGGGCCCCGGTGCGAAAATTGATCCGTGCCCCCCCTCCCCCCGCAACACATGGCGGTGGACACCTGGTCTCAGGGGTTACAGGGCTGCGACCCCTGTGACCGCGGTATGTACGCCAGTGCATGCAGATGCACACACACTTAAAGGACCACTACAGACACCCAAATCACATCAGCTCAATGAAGTTGTCTGGGTGTCCGGTCCCTCTAGTTTTAACCCTGCAGCTGAAAACATAGCAGTTTCAGAGAAACTGCTATGTTTCACTGAGGGTTAATCCAGCCTCTAGTGGCTGTCTCACTGACAGCCGCTAGAGGAGCACACTGAATGTCCATAGGAAAGCATTGAGTAATGCTTTCCTATGGGCGGTTTGAATGCGTGCGCGGTCGCATTCGGAGCTGAGAGGCTGAGGGATCCCTCTAACACTCACACACACTAACACTCACACACACTCTAACACTCACACACTTTTTTTTTTAAATGTAATCCCCCCAGCCTCCTTACCTTTTGGAGTGCTGGGGGGATTCCCATGGGTCCAGTGGTGCTGCTGGGCTCCTGGGCAGGTGGCCGGTCAGGCAGGCGGGCACGCGAGGGAGCGTAGGGATGCCGGCGCCGGAAGATGATGTCATCTTCCGGCTCCGGTATCAGTGCGGTGCACGAGGGAGCTGAAGAGGAAGCACTGAGTGCTCCCTCGCGCGCCCGCCTGCCCGCCTTCCGGGTGTCAGCAGGGCCAGCCGCGACCCCTGCGACCCTGGTATGTACGCCACTGCTGGGGAGCTAGAGTTCACTCTTGCGAGACCGAAGCATTGCCATAGTAACCACGGCAACGGTCCCATCTCGCGAGAGGAACCTGGTGGAGCTACTGGTTGTTGGAGGCTCCTCTGGGACGGACGGATTGACGTACGCACACACTTTAAAAAAATCTGAACTATTTACTCACTAGCAGCGATTTAGTAAATACCCTCATAAGTGCTAGTTGTCTTTGATTTCAGATGGCTATGCCTAATTTTGTTTTTCATAGCTCCAAGGCATGGGTCCTCAAACTCCGGCCCCCCAGATGTTGCTGAACTACAACTCCCACTCTCTGGCTCTCTATGAAATTCAAAGAATCATGGGAGTTGTAGTTCAGCAACATTTGGGGGGATGGAGTTTGAGGACCCATGCTCCAAGGTTTTAGATCTAATACTCTATGCCAGGGTATGAAAAGGGAGATCTCCAGCTAGTGTAGAAACACAAATTCTGTGATATTAGAGCATCCTGGGTCCATTCTCATTTCTGAGAGGCCTATAATGTTGGCAATTTGTTAAAATCATTTCTGCTATGACAGCCTGGAACACTGTGTTACATTATATCCGTTTTGTTTCTACTGTGCGAGCATCACGTGCATGCCACACAAAAAATAAAGAAGGCTCTCCCTTGAGCAGATAGCAAAACACACACCGGTTCATTAAACAGAGAAACATAATGTATATAAACTGATAGCAGCTGCAGTATGGCTCCTACCAGTTCATGATTCACTTCAAATGTCAAATTTCCAGCTCATCAATATTGGCCTCACATTTGAAATTCATATTGAATTCTCAACAATTTTCACTTCAGTGAATAACTCAGTGTAAGCATGGGATACCATAAACTCCTGCTGGGGGGGGAGGGGAGGCGGAGCTGGTGATCATACTGCTCAGTCGGATCTATTCAGAGCTCCAAGCAAAATCGGATAAAACTTGCTAAAAAAAACCCACCGAAAAACTAACTTTGCTCGACTTTAAATTATTACCAACACTTACCTAAAGTCACGGGGCGTCGGAGCAAGTAATACAAACCTGATAGGTCTCTAACAACGGCCGATAATGGCAATCTGAGGTGGAGGCCACAAACCACGCTGAGGTCCTATGATGGCGCCGATGTCCGATGGGCCCTCAAGAACCTCCAGCGAAGAATCCCTGAGAGGAGAGGCAGACCCCATAGCCCGACAAGACAGCAGGGCAACAATCTCACCACCTAAAGCCCCAGAGAAATCAGTTGGAGAGGCAACGGAGATAGCAGATACCCTGCAGACACTAGGGCTCTCAACTCATACAGCGGAGCCACCGACTACACCTCTGTTGACATCTGCGATATGAGACCATGAAAGGGGCTGACCGTTTGTACCTGCAGCCTGCTGTTGAGATGCATCCTCAGCCCAAATGTCATGACTCTCTCGTGACACCCTTGGCAGTTTAATGCCTTGTTATTTTGTTTATGTTCTTCTAGACACGTTTTTGCATTTCTTATAATTTCTCATGGTCCCTGTTGGTGAAATTTTGCAAGTACGTAATGTTCTGTGGTACACCCTGCTTCGCTCTACTTTACTACTTTATTCGGCTGATAGCTCTTACTGTACCTGACATATCAGCTAACTAAGCCCCCCTGCCCCTCTTTACTTATTAGTCATTTGGGACTTTACACTGCCGAATTTTATGAGGGGTTTTTGGCCTCTATAGCCTACGATGAGGCTTTGACCTTTTAATTATTCTTAAATTACCCAGAAGCTACTTGCCTTAAGTGACCTATATTAATGCCACTATGCACCACACAGATACAGGTAGCATTCTGTTAAAGCTACTATTGTACTTTTACTTATTATAATACAAAATTGGAAAAAAATCCAGTTCCAGTTCCAGAAGATGTGTCCTATTATTATTCTATGTTGTGTCCTTATCCATTATTTTGACATATATTTTCATACATCTGTACTGTATTTATTCTGTGGCTTGTCAAAGATTGACAAAAAAAATAAATCCTGCTGGGCAGGGCTTTATAATAAGCCATCAGTCTACATAGATCAGAATGAATTGCTCAGATTGATCAGATTCACTAAGCAGCACATCTAGGGGCACTTTGCGGCTATGTAACTTTTTACTTCATTTTTGTTTCTGTATTTTTATTTCGTTATCTCTATTATGCACTAAAAGTCTAGAATCATATATAGAAATACAATTTCATTAAGGCTGGCAAAGGATTACCTGAGTTTACAACAGTTTTTTTGGCACCTTTGGACAAAGCAAATGTTCTAGAGCAGTCTTCATGGCCCACCAACAATCCAGGATTTATGTATTTCACTTTTTTATTCTAATGGTGATACTGAAAATCCTGGACTGTTGATGAATCTTGAGGACTACTGTTCTAGAGAATTTCCACTCACTTGTTAGCCATTAGTTAGTGAAAATCCAGCCTTGATGAATAGAAATTATTACCCTGTAGTGAGTGTGCCATGGACCCTCCAGGTTTGCAGTGGCAAGCAACTTTTAGGCATGACTAGGAACATAGGACATTCCATTTTGAGTCCTAATAGCATGTATTATTAATAGTAATGGCTCAACATGTTTAATTGTGCTGTGCAATTTGTGGTAATTAATGGATCAAATTATTGTGATTAAATGTATAATTTAAGATTGTAATCACATTCTATACTTTGTTTCTTATCAGTCCTAATTATCATGAATACACTTAAAAGTGTACTGTCATGGAAAATGACATGTTAGTGCTTTAAAAAGAACATGTTATCCATGCATTGTGCTAGCTAAATTGCCTGCAATTGTATACATCACAGCTGATTTACATATTTTATTGGGTAGATGTCACAGTGATCACAGGGGAGGGGGGATATGGAGGATGAAAGCTTTATGTAAGTATTAGACGTGTGAACAGCAAAAAAAAAATGTCTAAAATTTTTTTAGATTTGTCTGTGGACTTTCAGTTGCGATAAAATTTGCTCATGCAATTGTTTCGGAAAAATATTTTGGACAAACAATAAGGGTGAAAAAAATGGCCAATCAATTTACTGTAAATATAAACATTATGTATATATTTTACAGTACACTAGTAGGCACACTTTCCTGCCAATTACTCTCCAGATCAGGTGAGAAGTAACAAATAGAGGGAATATATTTATTTGTCATTAAATATATAAATATAGATTTATTTTTTACGGTTTTTGCTTTTTCCCATCTATTGGTCACTTCTCACTTGATCTGTGAATAAAATCAACATTTAGTAGTCGTCCACTAACCATTAACTAAACATTATTTGTTTTGGTGCCACAGACAAAACTCGAAACCATGAAACAAACAAAATGGCTCGTCCATTCATGATTAGTCCATATGTAGTTTTTGTGATTAGTCCATATGTAGTTTCAGAGTTTGGAAATTGGGATGAACCGTGAGAAATCCAATGCAAAAGTCAAGTAAATACAGTATCTCACAAAAGTGAGTGCACCCCTTACATTTTTGTTAATATTTTATTATTATTAAACACTTATTGATATTTGTGTGTGTTTGTATATATGATCTACATATCTATATAATACACATTTTCTCTAATGTTCTCCCTTCTATTTTTCACTTTAACACTAACTTCTGTCATTACTAAAATATCCCTATCCTTTCACTCACCTGTCCCTGGCAACACCATCATCATTACTTCCACCTTACTCCCCTCCCCTCTCTATTCATCCCATGCACTCTACACATACCTTTCCAGCCTATCTCCACCAACTCTTTCCAAATCCTCTACATACATACCCTCCTACAAAACTTTCAAATCCTACTCCCACCTTCACTTCCTTTCTATCCTTCTGCTCCTAGCAGCTGGTGATGTCTCTCCAAACCCCGGTCACCTCTCAACAAACTCAGCACATACTAACCCAAGGATCCACACTAATCGCATACCCATCTCTTGTTCCTCTAAATCCTCCTTCAATACTGCCCTCTGGAATGCACGCTCTGTTTGCAATATAACTAAACCCACTGCTGTCCATGACTTCTTCATCTCTCGTTCAATAGATTTACTAGCCTTAACAGAAACCTGGCTCTCCCACTCTGACATTGCCACCCCTGCATCTTTGTCCTTCAGTGGTCTCCAACTTACCCACAACCCAAGAAACTCTGAATGTAAAGGTGGTGGTGTTGGGTTTCTCCTCTCCCCTCACTGCTCTTTTAAACCTCTTCCCACACCCCTCCCCTCTCTTTCCCATCATTTGAAATACACAATTCGCCTTTTCAAACCCTTCTCTGCTAACATTGCTGTTATTTACCGTCCCCCTGGTTCCCCTCTTCTCTTCCTTGACCACTTTGCTACCTGGCTACCCTATTTCCTCTCTTCTAACATCCCATCCCTAATTCTCGGGGACTTCAATATTCCTATAAACCCACTTTTGACCTCTGCAGCCAATAAACTACTTTCAATTACCTCCTCCCTCGGGCTATCACAGTGGGCAAATTCTCCCACCCATGTAGCTGGCAATACCCTTGACCTAATCTTCACTTATGCATGTACTGTATCTAATATCTGCAACACTCCGTATCCACTCTCTGATCACCACCTCTTGTCGTTTGCTCTCACGTACCCCCTCACCCAACAACCTCCGCCTAACCACCCTCAACTCAGGAGGGACCTTAATTCTCTTGATCTCCAACAGTTGTCAGCTGACATTGATTCACAACTGCTGTCCATCCCTTCCCTCTCCTGTCCTTCACTGGCCATCTCCATATATAACTCCATACATCTCCATGCTTGCTCCGGGAATTTGAAAGCTTCGGCAAAATCGCAGGATTCAAACTTAACCTATCTAAATGTGAAGTCCTTAACGTCACCTTCCCACCAAACGAATTTGCCACGCTGAGCGCAGCTTTCCCATTTCGCAGATGCGAGGGGAAGATGAAATATCTCGGCATCTGGGTGACACACAATCCACGCGACCTTTACCAACACAATTTTGCCGCCATACTACGACAAGTGGCTTCGGACCTCGACCGATGGGCATATCCACACATCACTTGGCACGGCAGGATAGCGGTCCTCAAGATGAACGTGCTACCACGGATATTATACTTATTCCAAACCATCCCAATATCGCTGCCAACAATGTTCTTTTCCAGCCTGAAATCGGCGGCCATCCGATATGTTTGGAGAGGGGAAAGATCCCGCCTTCAACACAAAACGCTCTGCCTACCCAGGGTCAGAGGAGGCCTTGCACTGCCGGACTTCAAAAAGTACCACCAAGCTACCACCATGCAACGCATCCTGGAGTGGCACGCAGCAGCAGACCCGAAACAATGGGTAACTCTGGACAGAGAAGACTCGGGGACCAAACTTAAAGCAGACGTATGGAGGGAGGCGAGAGGTTG